CGCATGCAGCGAATGTCACCTAGATCAAAGGTGACATCTCATAGGAAAACCTACCTAATGTCAAAAAACTATAGATACATAAATGTTATAAAAAATAGATATGTCAGTTTTTGAGCTACGTTTATGGCACGGGTATCACGTATCTTGAAAAGTGACATTATGTAGGTTTTTCTACAAGATGTTAGCTTAGCACTTAGTTGTACGTGTTGCCTAAACGTGATGAGACTTGTTATCAATCTTTGGCTCGGATGTGATTTAAAATCTGCTTCTGAGATGGCATTACTGGAGGTCTAACCTGTAAGATGTACGTGTTGATGATAATTACATTGGGTTCTTGTCTCAAATACACTTAATTGAGATTCAAAGCTGGAAATTAGTTGTGCATCCACTTTTTCTTACCCCGTCTGGAAATTTCATATACAAATTTGCTGAATTTCAAAAATGAGAGAGAGATAACAAATAATTATATTCACACTTGTCGAATTACAAGCTATATACATGCTAATAGTAATTACACACAACGCGGGCGCGGTGATGATTTCCCGTAATTCTCCTCAGTTTTTTGTAATTTATAACTTTGAACATAACACAAAGCACAACATATAAATAACCCGTCATATTCTGCATATTCAGTAATGATTTTCTCACACAGCAAATATCACTGATTTTATACACATGCAGACCAATACACATAATCATCCAGATGCGATCTTGCTGTTCAACCACGTTTCTTCTCAGAGATAAAAACTACAGACACGGATCACTCAGCCTCACAAAACTATGCAACCAATAATGCGTGTAGTTTAGTTGAGTGATTCCTCCATAGATGGACGTTCACAACGATCCTAGTGAGCAAACGTGGAATGACTGTTTGCGCCCTAAAAACTACCTAGGCTGCAAGTTAACATCTTATAGGTTTTTTCACGTTTAATCGGTTTTTTACATGATACCCGTGCGGGTGTGGTAATAAGACTAGAGTTCAACTGGGTCATTGAGTTAAGGGCGAATGCAGCATTTGCGTCAGGAGGGTCACTGGATTCATACTCAGGAAGATATTCGTCTCTGGGGCGGGGGAATGTGATTTGGTGGAGGCACCGAAGGCTTGTAACATAGTCTTGTTAGATCATCTATGCTTTTCACAACATACCAATGCCCGAGGAAAATTTAGATAGTGAAAGCGAATTGCATATCTGATCAGAATCACTTGGCGACATATATTATACCGGTATGCACTGGAAAGCCTCAGTAACAGGATAATGCTTTTTTCTTCATTGGATATAGAAGCATCGGTTAATGAAGCTGTAGAATCAGTATCGCTTAAGTTAATATAAGAGAAATTTTGGCCTGTTCGACAATTTCGAGGTTTTTTAGCAAAACATGAATCTATTTTACTATTCTACAGTGCTTCAGTTTACTATTTGTATCACTGTTTCCCTTAGAATCACCCTATAAACTCATACAAAAAGCATACAGAACAGTTGCAATGACTATTGTTTAAATACACGGTATTTCCAAAACATGGCGGACAAAATGTACCTATTTATTACATTTGCTTGATTCTGATATAATGAGCCGTTCTCGGGTTTTGAAGTAAAGTAGACGTATTACTTTTGTACAGTTTTAGAAAATATGGAATCGAATATTGGTTCTACCGTTTTGAAAATTTGGTAATACGCATATCAGGTCAGAGACCTGAAAAACTACGGATATTTTCTCTTAAAAAACGGTTGATATTATCGAAATCAAACATGAATAAATTTCTTGAAACATCTGCTGGTGTAGAATTACATTGATGTAGATGGAAGACAACACTATCGGGACACGTTCCTATTTCCAAAAATATTATTGTGAAAGGTGTAAAAATATAGTAATATATTTCGTCTCTGGCGACCTAAATGAGTTAATCGTTTTCGTTGGATTATATTTATCGTCGCCTAAGTTCTAACACAGCGTAGGTAACTCAAAAGTGAAAAATTTTTGAAAGAGCAAAAAAAACGGTGAATCTTTGGATTTCCTATCGAATGACACGCATATATTGATGGCGCCATTTTTTAAACTACGCCATGTAAAGACTTAAACGACTATATGTGAAAATGATTTAAGAAAAACTTCTTTCCAGCGACGCCCCTTCAGGGGCCTGTTTGTCAGCAATCAAGAGGCGTTTCGCAAGTCGAGAGGATCACATACAATTGTTTCAGAATAGCCCCACTGAATTCGTGCCCCATGTTTGGGAAACACCCTGTACATGACTAAACTTAGTCCATACCATCTCGCTAAGCTACAAATATACTAAGTGACATATAAATCCGAACACCCAGTTTAAATGGTTTTATTTTAATAAAAGTTGGTGAATGTATTTATCTTACTGTAAATAACAAGTGAAAAAATTTTCAGCCTTATCAGTTGGACATTTCGGTTTTTATACAGCTTTTTTTTAATTCATTAACTCTCTAAAAATTAATATTCCAGCCGCAGTAAAGAATCAACGTTGGCGGATTTTGGTTCTTGACATCCTTTACGATCGGTTACGATGCCTAGAGTTCGGAGACCTGTACGATTTCGTCAACTTAGTGAGTTTGATAGGGGCCGTATAGTGGGACTTCGGGAAGCTGGACTTTCTTTTCGGGCAATTGCAGTTAGAGTGCAAAGAAGTGTAGACACTGTGGTTAGGTGTTGTCAGGCATGGCTTCGAGAAGGCCGTACGCAAAGAGCAAGGGGCACTGGACGCCGCCGTAGAACAACAGACCGTGAAGATCGCCGCCTAAGATTATTGGTCTTAAGGGACCGTTTCTCCACTACCAGGTCCATTGCAAATGAATGGTTTGCAGAACACGGAAGAGCTATTGGCATGCGAAGTGTTTACCGACGAATGAGAAGTTTTGGCTTGTTTTCATTCCGGCCACACTGGGTCCTCCCTTTAACTCGAGAACACCGACGTAATCGCCTTGAGTGGTGCAGACAACGGTCACTCTGGGATCAGGAATGGAACAGTATTGTCTTTAGTGACGAGTCTCGATTTTGTTTAGGCATGCACGATGGTCGTGCCAGGGTTAGAAGGCGACGTGGTGAAAGGAGGAATCCACAGTTTTTTGTTGAAAGACATGTTCATCACACTGTTGGAGTTATGGTTTGGGGTGCTATAGCTTATGGTTCCAGGTCACCTTTAATCTTCATCAGAGGTAACATGAACCCGCAGCGTTATATCCACGAAGTTCTAGAACCCCATCTTTTACCCTATCTTGACACCCTGGCAGATCCAACTTTCCAACAAGATAATGCCCGACCACATGTTGCAAGAGTCACAATAGACTTCTTTCAACATAATGATGTCACATTGTTACCATGGCCACCAAGATCTCCCGACTTATCCCCAATGGAGCACGTGTGGGATATGATGGGTAGGAGATTGCTCGATTTGCAACGTCCTCCTCAGACTCTAGAAGCACTTCGAGAGGAGTTGGTGGTTGCCTGGAATGAGATACCACAGGAGGACATTGACCACCTGATCAGAAGCATGCCTAGGCGCGTTGGAGAATGCCTAGCACATCAGGGTGCATTCACACATTATTAAAGGTCAAAGGGCTTTAAAGCAGTGCAATCATTTTGAAATTTATATCATTTACTTATTATGCTTCATTAAGTACTTATACAAAATTTTATTAAAATAAAACCATTTAAACTGGGTGTTCGGATTTATATGTCACTTAGTATATTTATCGTCGCCTAAGTTCTAACACAGCGTAGGTAACTCAAAAGTGAAAATTTTTGAAAGAGCAAGAAAAAAACGGTGAATCTTTGGATTTCCTATCGAATGACACGCATATATTGATGGCGCCATTTTTTAAACTACGCCATGTAAAGACTTAAACGACTATACGTGAAAATGATTTAAGAAAAACCTCTTTCCAGCGACGCCCCTTCAGGGGCCTGTTTCTCCGCAATAAAGAGGTGTTTCGCAAATCGAGAGGATCACATACAATTGTTTCAGAATAGCCCCACTGAATTCGTGCCCCATGTTTGGGAAACACCCTGTACATGACTAAACTTAGACCATACCATCTCGCTAAGCTACAAATAAATAGTGTCAAAGCTATGCTGAGCTGATACATGAAGAGATCGAGATTTGAACAGTCTTACTACGATGCTTACTACTTACCATCTCCTTTCAATCAAATGAAACCGCTTTTCTCTATTTTTATCCATCAAGAAGTATTTTTAACAAATTTGCTCACAGCGAAAATATTTTTCTTATATTCCTATCCGAATGTCTGAATTTTTAATTAACTACCTTAATCACGGAACACATGAGGCTCAATTTACAATAATGGACAAGTAGCGCTACCAAGCTGAAAAGCACAGAATCACTATTTTCATTTATATTTGCGTAAAGCTGAACGTATAGGCAACCAGACTTACACAACCCTCTTATTTCCAGGCCATCATCGATAAGGATGGAATGCATTGATCAGGGTTGCCAAGTGTGGTGATTTTTCAATAAATCTGGTGATTTGTTACCCGTTCGTATCCAATGTATATCTACAAAAAGTTTGAATTTTATTAAATTTATCAAAGAACTTAAAAACTCATAAATATTGAGGTGGGGGGGGGGTGAGCTTATAACACCCATGACCTCCTGGATCTCTACTTGCATGAAATGGACATTGAGTACCCTAAAGATTATAATGTGAAAATATATTTTTAGCTAAAATATAAAAGGGCTTTAGAAAGTGGGAGATGGAGACTCTTTATCTCTGATTTTGACTGCTCTTCAATTCCTTGTTTTATTTTCTCAAACTTCTAGATCGCTCAGATAACTATATAACACGATGACAAAAAAAGTAGTCATTGAAGATGAAATAAACCATTAATTCTTTGTCTAACTGTTCTTATGTATGTTCCTCTGGTTACCAAACTGCAAGAACCGCGCACTGACTGTAAACAAACGACTGTGACGATGACGCAGTCTTAGCAACCGCTGGTGGGAAACAATCGAGCATAGCATGGGTTGCCGACTATCACGAAACCTGACTCATAACTTCTAATCAGTCGTGGTTCGGACATTCGCGCAGGTACGTCGTCGTTTGTTCGAGCACAGCACACTTTGCGCCGTTTGACATATTTCTGGTCCTTCGAGCCGGATCCAGCGCTGAATCTTGTTTAACGTACTCCATCTCGTGGAATGCAGCTGCTAAACATGATTCTAGCCACTTAACCTCGGTTAAATCCTTCTGCTTGGATTTAAAGGAAAATCTAAGGTGAGTGTAACTGTATACAAATACATAAGATGTTGGCCTTAGGCAATCTAACGAAGCATTTAATATATACAGCACGTTTCCTAGGCTGTTACGATGCTTTGTATGGTGATAAGAGGGATATTCTTATCAGCAGGTTATAATGTTTACGATAGGGAGATTAAATGAGAGGTTAGATTGTAATCTTGTGAGGTGGTTGGTGTTTTTATTCAATTATCCAATTTAGGTCAATGTTATTGAGGAATATTAACCTGACTACAGTTGAACTTTTGTGGATGTTTTGCTCACACAAGGTGCTGCTTTTTCAATTGAATGGTCAAAATTTTCGTTAGAGGAATTTTCTCTAAACTGCAAGCAAATATTCAGTCTAATTTGTCTGTATAACATCTACCTATATGATCTTATTAATAAACTAAATTCAACACAATCTTGATATAAAACTGTGCCTGTATATTCTAAGACTTTGATTTCTAATATGCTTTAGCGCACATGGTTTGAATGCTTATTGACAGTTAAGAATACTATAAAATATTGAATGAATCGATTTTTTTATCAACTAGGTAGTATGTATTAATGAGTCCATACACTAGCCAAATTGATACCCTCTGATTAGTAGGCATAAGCAGGATTAATCTATAGAAATATCTAAAGTATCAGTTACCTACTACTTATTATCAGTTGCTCTTTAAGTTCCCAGACATGGAAATGTGCAATAATATATACCCCCTTTAAGAAATAACCCTATCAACATTAGATTTCGAATATTCATTGCTCTTGAAAAAAAGATGAAAATAATGAAATATTACGCTGTATTTTTTGTTTTATATAAATTAACATCCCGTTTTGATATTACCTCATTCGTAAAATATGAAGAATACTAAAATACATTTGGATTTTTTTTACGATTAGCCTTTCAATTTATTTGTCTTGTTACTTAAAAGTGATAGATGGTATATTTTAGGAAAATAACTTTCTACTAATTATTTCCTAATAATGTAAGGATATGTTTTTAGCCTTGATTACTTTTAGTATCTGTTTTCAGAAGAAGATAAATAGCGAACATAAATATTCATTGACAGTACTTAAAACCATTTCAGTCCTAGATCTTGTGTTTCATATTATATGGCTTGTGAATAATGATTTTATTTAAAAAAATAAAACTATCAGCACGATCCATCTTTGAAGGTTAGAATACAACCTATCGGATATTTTTTCATTGTCATCACTATACTATTTCCTTGTTTGCAATAAAACACTACTTAGTTGTGATGATTTCCTATTTCGATTTTATTGGTGCAAAAACGATATTGGTGTTCTCACGTGTTTGAATGTAAACAATATGAAAACATTTATTTACAAATTAATCTTGTTTGAATATGCGAACGTGAATTTTGGTAATTCCGCAGGATGTTCTAAAATAAATTACTCGACTAGTACATGTGCACAGGTATTTACAATATGAAGGTCATATCATATTCCTAGTCCCAAATGGGTCAAACTTACAAGGCTGGAGATTATCGCTGCTTGGGGAGACAACAATCTGGTACAGTCTGGGATCGATTGTAGCCGATCTTTCAACGAGTCGACAATTTTGGCTGGTCGGATTCCAGATCACCGAATTTCTGATTTGTCCCATCCTAGCTGTGTCGAACTTTGTACATCCATAACTGGCCGGTTCGACCGCTCCTTGATTCCTAAAGTGTAGAGATTGTATAATCTGCCTGAGAAAGCTTTTCCCGGTTATTTTAACCCTAAACGATTCAAAAATCGGATTAAGAAGGTGTCAAGCTCCTCATAGCAGCCACGGTGCCTCGGTATTTAGGTATCTGCCTAAGCGTCTGTTTCGGTATATAAAAAACAATGAAAGCTTGAAGCAATAATGTGAAGCTTCATCCGATTTCCATGCTGCTTAGATGCTGCTGTATTTGGTTTGTAAAATCTTGCAAATTTCTGGGTTTCCAGATTATTCTTATTTGGTGAACATGTCTTTAATGAATGTGTGATCAATTTGAGCGTGAAATCATATTATCGCAGTTACATGGCGTTGCTAAGTCAATCTACTTTATTATATACCGTCCGTAATAGTTACGTAATACAATTTTTATTCTCTCGCACCTGCCCCGTAAACCATTTTCAACTTTTTCAGTCAGTTCTTATCCATTCTCACCTATTTCCAATTACACCGTATCAAATTCTTTGAATCCTATGAACGAAATTCTTTAGTCATTCTGACACAGACTGTTGTGCCTTTTTTCTTCTCCGCACAATTTGCCCGTCATCATTATTATCTTGATTGAACATCATTCCATTCTATTTATAACTTGAAGCTCAGGTTCTCCGTCATTGACTTGAGGTGAGGTGAAACACATGTCCGTATACCAGCCCTATACAATACAAAATACAAAGAGACGACGCTTGGAATTTCACACACAAATAATCTAGGGTCTCATGCACCGTAAAATCGCCATCATCCATATCGTCGGTCTCCGCACGTACAGCCGGAAATGACAAATAATCTAAAATCGAGTTACGCCGTAATTTCACAGATTTTTTTGTAGTCTCTCACTTCACGAAGTGAGGTAGCGGTATATCAGTTAAAATTTTCAGAAAATTGCCTAAGTTATAAAATTCCGAAAACAATTTTCACGTACCGACTTAAATAGATTTACGCCTCTCCTTTTCAGAAAATTGCCTAAGTTATAAAATTCCGAAAACAATTTTCACGTACCGACTTAAATAGATTTACGCTTCTGCGTTAAAACTGGTTCTATCATTTTAGACTAACAAAAAAAAAACCGCAACGTTCAGACTAAAAAATCAGTATGTCATTTTCAATCTCATTTATTGCTGATTTTCGTTTTCTAGCTCTCCTGTAAAATTTCTACAATGTCGCCGTGTTTGCAAAATCATTTAGAAAATTTATTGGAGGACGTGCCATTGAGTATTTACAGGGACATGTGGTTTCAGCATGATGGCTGCCCAGCGCACTATGCACTCTCAGTGAGAGAGTATCTCGATCAAAACTTTCCAGGCAGATGGATAGGGCGGTCTGGTACAATAAAAAAGTGTATTTCAAGCCGATTCAAAAAGTAGCTGAGCTACGGCAAATACTATTGGAAGCAGCTGAGTTTGTTAATAACCGTGGATTCGCTCGTTTAATAACCAGATCTTTTTTAAGATGTGTATTGCGGCTGAAGGAAAACAGTTTGAGCATTTGCTGTAAAGGTAAATCATCATCAGCAGCATTTTGACGCCCACTGTTGTGCAAACAGTTATCCTTAAGGGTCCTTGTGCGTTTTCATAATCGCTGTTTAATTAGGAAATTTTGAAAAATTTTCATCAGTTTTTTTTTCAAATAAAAATTGTGCATAAGTTAACGAGTAATCTTCTAAGTGTTATACCATTTTGGAATCGTTATTAAATGCGCCAACTTTCAAGGTTACTTGCCAAACTCTCGTAGTACATTTTTTCCAGTACAGCCAGTTAAAGTTGAGCAAAGTTTTACTTTGGAATACTTGGTTGGGAAATAAGTGGAAATTTTTCCTGAACGACAAAAGTTGGCAGTAAGGTTGAGACACCAGTTTGAAGATGCATTATTCATCATTACATTGTAAAAATAAAATCCAAAAAAAGTTAATATTTGTAGTAACAGGAGTTGACAGACTGCCGTAGGGTGTGAAATTTCTATATCTTTTTCAAACACCTATAACACATACATAAACATTTTTTAAATATTTTTCTGATAGCTGTTATGACTTTGCCTATCACCCGATTTCGGCTTGACGTCGACTTCTGGGACACCCTGTATATGTTAACGAATGCTAATTCGGCAGTCGAGCAAGGTGACAGGCTTATGAACTGATGCGTTGCATAGGAAGTACAGAGTCAATCTACTTGACGCCATTTTTCTCCTGAGAATGACTCGGGGAATGTTTAGTTCATCAGTGTTCTGGAACATAGGTTCCCGAAAGGCAAGATAACCACGCCCGTTTTTTCTCAGTGATCCTACTTCCCGTTTCCAAGAATGGGGGTTCTGGGGGTTAATACTTGAAATATGGGAGTAGAGTAACTGAGAGGAAGCGGGAGTGGTTCCCTTACCCTTCAGGAAATTGTATTTCTAAGCACTTGGGCACTTCTTGCTATCATCTGTCATTCTCATATCAAATGATAATAATAATTTATCGTCATAAGGTTTACAGTAGTAAACTTAGACGTCAACATAAGAAGAAATAAAAACTTTGATGGCACAATTTCGCCTTTAAAAGCATCATAGCCGTACGTACACACAAAAACATTACATCAAAAACACTATGGTCAATTAAAATATTATTCTGTGAATAAAAGACCCTTTCTATTAAATAAGCTTTCAATTTTTTTTGAAGCCAATACGTACTCGTATATGTGCAGTCTGTACTGGCAAAACATTAAACATTTTTACACCGTTATAGGTTTTGCTCACACACATATAACCTGGTTCTATGATGGGGTACACTTGAACTGTTACAGTTTCTAGTGATCATATTAATGTAATAATAACTGTTTTTTCCTGTATTTATGAAGGTTTTGTTTTGTATCAACACATATATTCAGTATTGTAATGGGTAAGTTTTTTTTTCGAGGTATAGAACTTTAAGCTGGCATTACTTTTGAAGATGGCGACCGATTTGACAGCTGTCAGGTTGGTTTGGCAATTTATCATGAATAGACACACGCCTGAACAATGCTTGCAAATTGTGTAGTTTTATTTCGAAAATAATGTTTCTGTGCGGAATACGTATCACGCACTACGTCCATTTTATCGTCGACAAAATCGTCCATCAGAGCAGTTAATTCGATTAACCATGGAACGTTTTCGCACCACGTTTACTCTAATTGATAACTCGCATCCCCAGAGACGCCGTACGGTGCGTACAGAAGAAGCTATTGCTACTGTAGAGCGTAGCCTTGAGGAAGACCCGAATGAGTCCATCCGCCATCGAGCACACTAATTGGATCTGCGTCCATCCACTTTATGGAAGATTTTGCGGAAGGATCTTGGTTTGCGTGCTTACAAAATCCAACTCGTGCAAGAATTGAAGCCAAACGACCATCAAGCAAGGCGTAGATTCGTTGAATGGGCCCAAAACGAGATTGCCGTTGTTCCCGATTTTCATAAGCGAATTTTGTTTAGCGATGAAGCGCACTTCTGGTTGAATGGCTACGTCAACAAACAAAACTGCCGCATTTGGAGTGAAGCTAATCCTCAAGTCTATGTCGAAACACCGTTACATCCAGAAAAACTGACTGTTTGGTGCGCTTTATGGGCTGGTGGAATCATTGGTCCGTACTTCTTGAAAAACGATGATGGCCAGTCAATGGTGATCGGTATAAAGCCATGATTACTAACTTTTTCATTCCTGAATTGAACAATCATGATGTCCAGGAGCTGTGGTTCCGTCAAGACGGCGCAACATGTCACACAGCTTGTGCTACAATCGATTTATTGAAAGACACGTTTGGTGACCGCCTAATTTCACGTTTTGGACCTGTAAATTGGCCTCCAAGATCTTGTGATTTAACACCGCTAGACTATTTTCTGTAGGGCTATGTAAAGTCATTGGTCTATACGGATAAGCCACAAACGCTTGACCATTTGGAAGACAACATTCGCCATGTTATTGCCGATATACGGCCACAAATGTTGCAAAAAGTCATCGAAAATTGGACGTCCAGATTGGACTACATCCGAGCCCGCCGTGGGAGTCATATGCCAGAAATCATATTTAAAATGTAATGCCACAAGATTATCTTTCGAATAAAAAAAATTCATGTCAATCGAATAATCCATCATTGTTTTATTGCAATTTAAAGTACTATACCTCTAAAAAAAAACACCCGTTATATACATGGTACTGTCAATATTTTCAGCTCTCTGCAAGATGTCATCTAGGGTAATTTTAATGCTGCTCTTAAAATTCGTTTCTGTCATATAAAAACCTCGGCAGATTTCCAAGAGTGAAACTAAGAAGCTATGCTGTATTGCATTACAGATGGCACATAAGCAAAGCAAACTATTTTCAAGACTTCAGTACTAACTTGATCTGAAAGACGATGTTCACTTTGAGAATTAGGCCCAGTCTCTGTCAGTGATTCGGCTCCTTCGTTTTCAAGAGTTCGAATTCTGGCATTACGTACGTATCTATTTTTATGATTGAAGTCAAGACACAGATGAAGTGCCAAGATTTATAAAAAACGATAGTTTTTTACTTCTATCCTTTTGTACCTGTGATCGCCAATAAAATTTCTTTGTGTCTACCGAGATGATCACCTTTTATGATTTTGTACTTTGATGATTGACGAAGTGCCACAGAAGAACTTTGGATTAACGTCTATGTTTAGACGTACATGTCATTTTATCAGTTTTTTAACATCCAAGGTCCAACGACCAAAATACAGTATTTGCATCTTTTAAGATATTGAAGACATTCCGTAGTACACGGAATCCCAGACCAAAAGGTTGTTGAGCGTAAAACTATTCCAAGAACTCTTAGCGTCTGCATTACATTTGCGTGAATAATGGACCTTATAAGTATATATTTGTATACATCAGGTATACAAACGTTTTTTCCTTTCTTGCTGGTACGTGACGTGAAATTCTAAGGACTCATAAAAAGGTCGTGGTTGAGGTTGACTTAATCCTTACACACGCAACTGTCTCGAAATTTTATCAGATCTACATGGGTATATTTGAAATATTGTATGTAGCGCACAAAACGTCCAGTCAAGTCAACCAGTCGTTGATCGCTAAACCGATTCATAGTACCTCAACTCTTGCTCCTAAGTACCGTTCTAGCTATCAGATAAGCAGACTGACTTATCACTTTCCACGAAACGCCGTTATCAGATCAAAAAGGATTAACTTCAGTACAATTTGAATCCTCCGAGGAAAAAGACAGTTACGAACATGTACAATAGAGAATTGAACTAATCAAGTCAGTCAAACAGGCCCATACAATTAGTCTGCAGACATTATTTTCCTACCCTACCGGAAGTTGCTGTCCATTTGGCAACAGTGTCCATTTCCACATCTGCGCGGCATCGCTGCAGCGAGTTATCGTTTATTTCATGCATGGTCCGTGTATTGTTATATGTTTTTGTGCTTCAATACAGATAGAAGCGGATCGAAAACATTTCTCTATCATTCTGTTTTTAAGGTCAAATGTACGGGGAAATCTATGTGTGAAATATGGCTGATAGGTGCATAAAATTACCGTAGCTGGGAGCGTATATGTAAACATACTAAGATCAAAAATTTTTCATATACCCACCGCTACCTCCTGCAGCCCCCGACCCGTACAACATTTTTTCTGAAACTTAAAAAATGAAGATTGAGTAATTTTCATTTTTGGTTTGCTTATGGAGGTGGTATCGGTAAACGCTCTATGGTAAAGTTTTCCTAACCGCCAAAGGTGTGTCTATTGTACACGGCAAGTGGAAATGACTAACGTGGAGTTCATTTGCCCACGGAAAGAAAAAAAAACTATAACTGACAATTTATTATTCATGAATGCCAGGAATATCCATCAATCGATTGTTATGATTATAAGATGAACTTCACCACGCGTCGCATCGCAGGAAACACCGTTATGCATGTTCCATTACAAACAGTTAAGCCGGTACTAATAAAATTAATTTTCCAAATTGGCATAACCTTTGTTACACTTTGATCCCAATTACTATTTTTAGCGAGTGACAATACATCACGACTGAGGAGAGAATAATAAAAAGTGTTTCTTGGATTATTAATTTATTTACTACGTCTCACTTTCGAGCAAGATCAGCACGGTACGGTGCCTCTACTATGCAGCTTGTTTTGGTCAACGTTACTAATGTTGTACTTAAAATGAATCATTAATTATTGAAGAGTTGGGTTTGAAATACAATCTGTTTTGTATACACACTAATGACGCATCAACAATAAGATGATTAAAAATCTAATTTGCCAGTTATTCATTTATGTCGAAACTTGGTCGTTTCTGATAATTCAGCACTGGTGAAACACTTTTTTTACGAACAAAGGATTATAGACAGTAAATCATCTTTTATTATTGGCAAGCCATACTTATACATTGAAGGTAGCATAACAGTCTGAAGATTATGACAAGGAACTTAATCTCATCGTACTATTTACATGAAGTGGGAATAGTTCGTAATGAAGAGACCAATCTGTCAGGCAAGGCATAGCTCTGATTGGCCAATTATATTCATGTCTAACGTTTACTTCCTTCAAAATCAGTTGTTCTAGTTTTATCTTCCACAGGGTACTTCTAGATATTCTAATATATAGCCAGACGGTAAATCTATAAAATCACTATTCCAAAGCTTAAAGATTCTGTATATAAAATGTTGTTTATAAGAATATATTGACTCTTAAACTGCAGATATGAAGGAATAAATATCATTTATATGTTCAATCAAAGAATCATTAAGATAAGAGTCATTAGTGAAATTGCTTTCGTATTTTTCATTTTCATTCCGATATCACTAGGTCAATAAGATATAATTTAATTTCCAATGACCTACCTGTATAATTCGAAAATTATCTTCAGTGTTATTTAGCGTTTTTTAAGTTTGTCATTATAAAAAAATGCTGCACACCTTGTCAAGCTGATGTTTCCCATTTTTTATATCGCGGACTGGCTATAACCGTGCTTTTCAGATTTTCCAAATATACGATGTATTTTTCTTCCTATCAACAGCCATTTTTATACGATTGTCGACTTTGTATTGTCTGAATCAACCAACTCAATGATTATTTTTCTGTGTTGCAGTAGAATTCCGTTTTTTTTTTTTTTATATATCGAAACAGCCGCGCAGGCAGAAGCCTAAATGCCGGAACATCGCGGCTGCTATGATGATCCCAAAGAAATTTTGTTAATACGATTTTTGAACTGCCTAAGGTTAGTAGAACTGGGAAAAGCTTCCTCCCGTAGATTGTTCCACAATCTAGACACCCTCGGGACAAAGGAGCGGTCGTATCGGCCAGTTTTGGATGTACGAAGTTTGACACGGTTAGGATGGGACGCCGAAGTCAGGCGGGTCTGTCTGGCAGGCACATCGCGCGGCGGCATCATGGAAGAGAGCTCTGAGGAGCAAAGCCCGTTGGTGTAGCGATAGAAAAGAGCTAGATCGCCGACGGCCCGCCGGTGCGAAAGAGTCCCGAGACTGTCTGTTAGAGAAGAGTCATCGATCAGTCGGACCGCCCTCCTCTGGACAGCATCGAGCATGGACAATGTAGTCGGGGCGGCAGCACCCCAAATGTGTGAGCAATACTCGAGGCTAGGCCTTATCTGGGCCTTGCATAGAGTGAGAAGGTCATGCGGAGAAAAGTACTTCTTAGCCCTAAACAAATAGCCCAGCTTTTTCCCAGCAGCTGCAGCTATTGAAGAGATGTGTTCGTGCCAGATCAGGTCCTCGGTGATCTGGACTCCGACCAGCCGAAATGAATGGCTCTTTAGTAGAACTCGACCGTCCATCGAAACTGTATGAGCGCTAGGACGCTTTTTGTTCGTCAAAGTACAGTACTGTGTTTTGGAAGCATTGAACTGTACAAGATTGTTGCGTCCCCAAGCAGTGATAGCCTCCAGGTCTCTTGTCAGAGAAGAAGTCGTCGCTAGTCTTCTTTTTTCCAGCTCAGCGGCAGAGATCGGCTTGTCACTCTGAGTTCCTGCATGTAGAGTGCTGTCATCAGCGAAGCTGTGGATTGGGTTGATCGTGCAGGAAAGGAGGTCGTTGATATGTAAGAGAAACAGTGTTGGAGCCAAGACCGATCCCTGGGGAACACCCGCGTTGACGTTGTGGGATGAAGAGGAGAATCCGTCAATCACGACGGATATCTTGCGGCCAGAGATAAAGTCAGCCACCCATCTGCAAAGCTTTTCTGGGAGGCCGTAGGATGGAGGTTGGTTAAGAGGGCAGCGTGCCACAGCTGATCGAACGCTTTCGTGATGTCAAGAGCAACGACATGAGCCTCACCATTAGACTGGATGAGTTTACTCCACAGTTGCATGACGTAAGCTAGGAGGTCCCCTGTGGATCGTTGGTGCCGGAAACCGTACTGCCTGTCGCTAATCAAGCTGTGACGTTCGAGGTAGTCCAGAAGCTCGCGATTTATGCACCTCTCCATCACTTTACTTATAACAGAAAGCAGAGCTATAGGCCTGTAGTTGTAAGGGTCGGTTTTAGATCCTTTTTTTGGGATGGGCTGTACATGAGCAAATTTCCAGTTTTCTGGGAAGGTGCCGGATTCATAAGGTATCTGGAAGAGACGCGAAAGAACTGGAGCAAGCTCCGCTGCGCGTCTCTCCAGTACAATGGCAGGAATCAAGTCCGGACCAGAAGCTTTGTTGATGTCGAGCGACAAGAGCACTCGTCTTACGGTCTTATGCCTGAATGTTACCTCCCGCATAGTGTGGGGAACCCTTTGAATTGACGGCACTTGGGCGTTGGTGGGGACGTCCATGGTGGAGTTGGCAGCAAAGATCTTGGCTAGCACTTCCGCCTTGGCCTTTGAGTCGAATACAATAGTTCCATCCTGACACGTAAGTGGTGGAAGGCTACTGTGTGAGAAGTTCTTTTCAATCTGCTTAGCCAGCGTCCAGAAAGACCGACTGCCATTGCGCTGCGACATTACCCTGTGCCTAACTTTTATATCATGCTGGTTTTTGGCATTGCGAACCGCTTCGTTATATTTGTTTCTGGACTCGACGTCGGCTTGTCTGTTCTCTACAGTGGGGTTTTGCAAGTAGGTTCTGTGGGCCTTGATCTTCTGCTGGCGAGCAGTGTCACACGATTTGTTGAACCAGCCGTTGGACCCTGGTTTAGGAACTTTCACTGTGTGAGGGATGTATTCCTCCATTCCGACGTAGATAATTTCGGTTATTGAAGAACAGACAGTCGACGCATCCGCGTCAGTGAAACAGACATCTCTCCAAGGAAAGCTAGAGAAGAAGTCTCTGAGCCCCTCCCAGTCGGCATGTCCGTAATGCCAAGTTTTGCGGACTGTGCGAGTTTCTGCTGCCACAGCGGCTTCTGACCGAAACCTA